GTGTGTGTATATATATATATATGTGTGTGTGTGGGGTGGGGGTGGGGTGGGTGCGTGTGCGTGTGCGTGTGTGTGGAGATTCTTTAGTAACTAGCCTTTTGAGTTTATGCATTTTTCATATGTCCTACATATTTTAACTATTTTATGTACAGTATATTTTGGTGTATTTGTAAACTTTGTAACTTACATGCAGAAATTAATCATATTTCACATTCACAAATAGGATGAATTTGAATTTTGATTAGGCCTATTTGTAATATGATATGAATACAATTAATTCAATAATAATGAAATAATAACAATAACAATAATTAACAATAATAAAAAATCAAGATCAACTTATTGTAACAATATTTCTTAAAAGGATCAATCAAAATATATAAATGATAAAAATAATATATATAAAATAATAAATAAAAAATAATATTATATCTAACACGTTATTCATTATAATTATTACATACCGTACATTTAATAGTTTCTTTATACTCGAATAAATCGATAATTTACATTAAGCGCCTCGAGGTTGTGTCAACGTAAGGCGCTATATAAATCCAGAATAATAATAATAATAATAATAATAATTATTATTATTATTATTATTGTTATTATTATTATTATTATTATTATTATTATTATATTTTATCTTTAATATTATTCACAAAAAGTATTGACCTTCGATCCAATCAGATTATCGTACATCATCCAGAACTTGTTTAACTCCATTTTTTCAATGAAAGGAGTGTGTTGTTTTATCTTTATTAATATTAAATTGTTTGCCCGAGGTGTTTTAGAAAATGATTATGTGATTCTGGTTTATAAATAAATTTTTTTTAAATCTAATCTTCTGGCGCAAAATAAGGCAAATAAGGTAAAAACTGTGTTATTCTCAAATTAACTGAAATAAAGATATTACGATAAAGAACTTTCACCCCTTTTGCATGTCATGCACTGTTACGTCGACTAGGTGTTGAAGATGATCGTAAGATAGATTATCGTTGGAAAAATAGTCTCATTAACTGGCAATATGTGTGATGGAAGCGATAATGGTGATTCGCTTAGTGAAAAAGGCTTGCAGACGGGAGAGTAGCTACGTCTCCATCGCGTTCGAAAGGCTAAGTTTCTTGTTAACCCTAAAGTATATTATGGGCGATAGCAATATCATTAACTGTTTGGCTTCGTCGCAGAAAGATAGCTGCGATAATAACCAATTAACTAGAATGGATTAGTTTTGATCAATTTCTTCTCAAGAGATAAAACAAAAGAAAATACTTAATTATAGGACAATTAATAGACAAATACTTGATTGTTGGGCTAAATTTGTATAAGTAACTACGTGATAAGTTATCAGAAATCTAATCAAATAACTGCAAGAAAATGAATCGGATATTATTATTTGGTAGGATATACTGTATAATTACCAATTCATATTAGGCCTATTATAATATTACATATATTAATGTTGGATAGGGCCCCCACTAGTCAGTTATGTTACAATGGGTGAGCACGCTTACCAACTTTGAAATATAATTATTACCTTCTAAATAAATTATATTATTATAGCTAATATTATCATTATTATTATAAATATTATTGCAGTGTATTATTACTATTATTATTAATATCATCACCATTATCAACATTATCTTTAATAATCGTTAATACAATCCTAGTCTTATTATCACCGTCATGTTCAATATCATCTGTTGTCATTATCATTTGATGTAGTAGCAGCACCTGTTAGTAGTATAATAATATAGTGGTAGTAGTAGGAAAAGTATATATACATTTATGAATATAGTATGAAAAATATACCAATATGAAATTGAACGGTTATTATATAAAGTATTTGTAGTTTCAGACGGTTATTGGCTGTTACGTTCAAACCACAGTACCACAGTACAAACCAACAAAATAATGTCTGAAAATATGTGCATCTCACCCAATCTAATGCTAAATAAATCGAGTGTTGATTGTGCATTAGTGAAGATGAGTAGATTTAAATAAACCTTTTCTCAATCAATTTGACAATAGAATAAAAACGAATGAAAATATGCTAGTTATTATTGAAAGAACAATTGCTAAGTAGTCATCTCATTTCTAAATACCAACGGGGATAGCGCTTGACGAGGCATTAATAACATTGTGATTGTAGGAACTTTATCGCCGGTCGCCGAGAGAGTTTTGTTTTGCCCGAGGTGTGTTAGATCAGTCTAGTGAAGACGATTTTATATTGACTTGCATGAAGAAATATTAATGACACCGCCGGGATATGGAAAAAACGCTCCTCCACGGAATTCGCGTAATATCGCGCTGATACGCGAGTTAAGTACCTCATTTGTCGTGTCGTGAATGAGGCAGGAATGAAGGGTACACGGAAAGAAGACGGTAAAAGTTGGCTTGAGTTTGGGTGGTGTATCTAGTTAAGCTAATCAAAATGTTAGCCAGCAAAACAAAGTCTATTTTGGTTAGAAGCAGAGGATACACTATGTTTGTTTTGATTCCACAAGCATGACCCTTGTTAACAACGGAAAGTAATTCCTATCGGCTATTTTTCAAAGTGTAACTGTAAGAACACACAATGCATTTTGACAAACAAGCCACCTAAGAGTAACCATCTGTGTTTTAATTACATATTATTCCATCATTTTTATTTTTTTCCTTTAACATTCTAGTATTTTTATACACATTTTGTAAAGATACATTGTCACCTTTCACCATAGGAAAAAATAAAAAATAAATCAAAATAAAGTTTCGAATTTCTCATTTAATAAAAATAGTACCGCATAACTTCCTATAAGTCGCAGTTTGAAAAATGATTTTTTTGTTAAAGACGATTTGCTTTTAAAACAAAAATAATTGTTGCTATTATAAATATGTACAAGTTTAAGCAGACTGAGGAATGGTGAATTTAAACGTGGGAATAATTAGTGATGATTATTTTTCTATCGTTCTAATTTAAATTAGAAATAATAAATCCCTATAAAAATTACGCAATTCATTACATTTTAATTGTCATGGATATATATTATATTTATATTTAGTACTGTAGGTCAATTTATTATTAGTTTATTACATTTTAGTAATATTTTCCTACTGCTTTTTAACGTAAAATGTTGTTCTACGTTTCTCACACGGGGCAATAGCCTGAATATATAACTAAATTTAAGATGCAGCTTTCCATTCATTTTCACACTTTATATGATTTATCAGCTCAGGAAATTGTGTCCCTTTAATTAATTTTCCCAAATTACCAAGTGGATCTATTTTTATTCGCATATATTAGGCGATTTAAAAATTGTTTGTATTGAACTAAACCTTGTCATTTTCTTTGGTTCCCGGTTCAGTTCTGTCCGCTGCTCTCGTTGTGTTTCAATTGGATGGTTAAAATGAGAGTTTCAATTGTGCATCGTTTTTCGAATGAGCAGTTAAAGGCGCTTGTCCCGTGTACAATATCTTGATCTTGATCCATACGTGGCAACGAAAGAAAATGTCCATGTAGAGCCATGTGAGAGGGAAGAGTGGTCGTGTGGTCTAGGTTGTTGTTTATTGAGGCCTCTTATGTCTTTAATGGTCATGTCATGGTAACTTGCTGGAAATCACATTGATATTTTTTGAAGTAGAAGGTTTATAAGTAAAAACTGATTCTTATATCCTTGTAACTGCTATTTAATGTTGTAATTATAATTTAAGTTCATGAGGTATTTTTAGATTCTCGAGTAGGCCTATATCTTACATATTAGGTACATTCTGGTACAGCTGGTTTATTTTATCCAATGAAAGGTCTAATTTATAGTTAATGTTACCGTGTTTATAACCGTACTGTATATACATAATTTTGTCTGCTTCACGTAAAACTTGCACCATTAACTAATTTTCAATAAAATACCTTAAAAATCAAAGTTATTATTCATTACGATGCATTCACATAGATATTTTCTATATAGCTAATTACGGTTCTTCATACATACCGTAGTCCCTTTAATTTCATTTTCAATAATACTTTATAATTAGTGTGTTCGTGCGAATAATTACCGCATGTCAGTCATTTAAAAAAATAAGCTCGAGTTTTATTCTAATCGGGTGAATAGAGAGGGCATTGACATGACACCGACTGCCTTGCGACTCACACGAGGTAGCTTATCGCAGATTTTGCACTAAGATCTCAAATCCGTCAAAGTATCATTGTATTTGCCAACCAAAACTTCAAATTAATAACAAAAATTTCAACACTCTGTGTTATATAACAAACATGGTTTTAAGGTATGATGATGGGGACAGGTTTATGATGA